CAAGCTTTATGTTACAGCATTAGGTTTACTGTCTGCTGGGGTCACTTTTGGCTTGACATGGGAGACTGGAAAAAACACACCTTCTGGCACTGTGATAGACTGCAGAGAGCTCAGCGGTTTATATACAATACTAGGATTCTTGTCAACATTTTGTCTTACTTACACTGTGTGTATGTGGGTCTATATGTGTATGTGTGTGCAAATTATTTGCTTTAATATAAATCATTTGGCTATGTGCTACACAATATTTGTCAAATAAAATCAGAGCAAAAATAAATGATCTTTTCATGTATCACTTAATCATTCCATGTGGAAAACTGTAGCATATTAAAGAATGTGTTTTCTTAATTATATGGATTTAATTAGTCAGCTTTCAAGTACTTGATATTTAAAATATAAGTCAGTCTCTTTCAGTCTTAACTTCATCATTCCACAGCAATATATTTTAAGATTCTTTTGACAATATGGACAGACTTGTAAACCATAGTACACAGTGTCAGACATATAGATTTTGTTTCAAAAGTTATATTTATTTTTATTTATCTCATTTCATTCAGTTCCCTTATCATGATTCAAAGTCTTAGAACAACATCTGGAAACATACGAATGAACAAAATCACTTCCTAAGTCTTCTTTCTGGAAGAACAGGAGGAAACCAGTCAGAGGCACTTGTGGAAGGATGTGTTTGTCCTAGGTCTGTCCTGGTGAGATGCCTGAATTATTACCCCCAGTGGTCCTGATGTCCTATGCTCATATAAAGTACCAACATATAGTAGATGAGACATTGGCAGGAAACAAGATTGTTTTTGAGATTGAACTGCTTCTTCAATTTTGTCAATTTATTTTCTCTATCATATAAAAATATGTGAAAAATAAGCCTTTAAGAAGTCTTAAAAGTAAGTAAATAAGAAACTGGAGGATTTAATTATTAACCCTTATGTAGGACTGTTATGTATCTGAATATTTTTTGTGAGTAGAACACCCAAGCCTTGACTTATAAGAAGACTTTCATTTCTATAGAATTTTAGAAGATCCCCAAGCAATTTTATTTTGACCAACTAAAATATAACCAATGATCCATCTTTTTTTACTTTCAACTCAACACATAATTATGTAGAATTAATATTGTTTAAATGCTATCTATATGAAAATATGAACGATGTCTTTTACAAGCATAAAAAAAAATCTTATTATTCATATGGAATTATAAAAAACACTGAAGATGGGCTGGGAAGGTGGCTCAGTGGTAGAGCGCTTGCCTTGCATGCCTAAGGCCCTGGGTTCGATTCCTCAGCACCACATAAGCAAAAAAGAAAAAAGCCGGAAGTGGCACTGTAGCTCAAGTGGTAGAGTGCTAGCCTTGAGCTTAAGAGCTGAGGGACAGTGCCCAGGCCCAGAGTTCAGGCCCCACGACCGGACCCCCCCCCCAAAAAAAAAAACACTGAAGAGTTTTTTTTTTTGTCGGTTGTTGGGCTTGAACTCAGGACCTGGGCACTGTTCCTGAGGCTCTTTGTGCTGAAGGCTAGCACTTTACCACTTGAGTAACAACAACACTTCTGGTTTTTGAGTGGTTAATTGGAGATGAGTTTCATGGGGATTTTTTCTGCCTGGGCTGACTTCAAACTGTGATCCTCAGATATCAGCCTCTTGAGTAGCTAGGATTATAAGTGTGAGCCACCAGCACCCAGCAAATTTTCTTTTTTAAATCCAGAGCAAAAAGAACAAAACTAGAGGCATTACAATACCTGATTTCAAAACACACTACCTTCTCAGTGGTAAATTAGTATAGTCATTGTAGAAATAGTATGGAGATTTGAAAATTTACAAAAAAATAGAACTACCACAAAATGTAGCAATCTCATTAGTGGGAGTATATTACAAAGAAACTGAAGAATTAAGTGAAAGAAATAGTTGTAGCCTCACATTTATGGCAGAACTATTCACAACAGACAAAATATAAAATTACCCTAGGTATCTATCCATGCATGAAAGGGCAAAAAGAATATGAAAGAAATATACAGGGGATCTTATTCAGTATTATTCAGTACTTGGCCTAATTATTGAAACTGAGCATTTCATGCCTCTCATTTGAAAAAAAAAAAAGATCTTTTTCATAAGGTCGTTGTAATAACAAGTAAGAAAACACAAAGTCCTTAGCATAGCCTCCAATGTTACGAAACATGTTGATCTTATGAATATTGAAAAGCCCTCATGCTAGAAATGTTCTTGTAATTGCCTAACCCATCTGTTCCTAAATCCTACCCATAGTTAGAATTTTCTTGCAAGATTTCCAGAAATACAACTGCCTAGGTTTCACAGTTAGATTTTCTGTATAAATTCTGAAGATGACTCCATTTGGGGAATCACTGATCTAATCCAACCACATAATTATAGAATGGGAGAGTGAAGATTGTAAAATTAAATACACAGTACTAAAAATGGCACAATGTAACATCAAAGAAAGGTAGAGATTCTGGCCCTTGAATCTCCTGGTTCAGTAGTATTTCCACATCCCACAATAACCTAGGACTGGAAAAACCACAGAGGAAAGAGCCTGTCACTGGGCTGGGAAGGTGGCTCAGTGGTAGAGTGCTTGCCTTGCATGCATGAGGCCCTGGGTTCGATTCCTCAGTACCACATAAGCAAAAAGAAAAAAGCCGGAAGTGGCGCTGTGGCTCAAGTGGTAGAGCGCTAGCCTTGAGCTGAAGAGCTGAGGGACAGCGCCCAGGCCCAGAGTTCAGGCCCCACGACTGGACCAAAAAAATTTTAAAAAAAAGAAAGAGCCTGTCACTCCAGGATTCATTAGAAACTGCTAAGGTTCACAGTGGAAGCTTAACAACTGGGAAAACAATTATTTTAAGAAAAGAAATATGTTAGAAGCAGCTGCATAGATCCGGTGCACATGCACCCTGCCCCCGTGACCACGAGTGACCGGCTCCGGGGGACCCCCCTGAGAAGCCATAACCCCCTCTGGGGACCTCAGGACCCAATGGGAAGCACAGAGGCTAGGAGCCAAAGGGACCCAGGCCAGAAGGGAGGCGGGGCTGAGCCAGGTAGGCGGATGTTGCCAAAAGGAGATGGGGTGGGGGGCCAGAGAAGGGACCAGGAGGAAGCTAGGATCAAGCAGCCCGGGGATCACTTGCCAAGACCCGCGGCCACCGGGTCCCACTGCACGTGTAACGCCACCCAGCACCCCTCCGAGCAGGGATCCAGGAATGTGCCAGGAGTCCGCCCGGCCTCTGCCGACTGGGTGTGGACATAGGGTCCGTGTGCAATAGGGAGGAACGTCTTCTATTTTTGCTGCCCCTTCCCCACCTGTTTTGGGGAGAGGGAGAAGGTATTTTCAAGACAAAGCACAGGCACAAATAAAAACGGTAACATTGCCACTCCATGCCTTCAGCCAGCACAGGTGGGGCGTGGGTGGTGCTGTTTCTGGTTTCGGAAAGAAAAAAGAAAGTGTGTTCAACTTATTTTCTTTGACTTCTGGTAGATTAAGTAAAATTATGTATTCATTGGAGACTGAGAATGTGGTAGAGGATCTGAGGTTACATCCTGGTTCTGCTAGATGCCCTTAGGCAAATCGCCCATCTTCTTTGACCTTCAGTTTCAAATGCTACTTGATTTCTACACTTAATGTAATAGTGCTATCTGATAGATTAACTTCAGGATGTTTTAAATTCCATGATGAGTCACATAAATTAAAATACCTTAAATAGTAATGTGTGATGCAGAGGAAAGCAGACTCTTTGTGTAATTAAATCTGTACAACACCTTTGGGTCTAAAATCCTGTAACACACTATGTATATAGGTTCATTGCCAATTAACCATGATTGCTGAACTGAGTTTGTGTATGAACTAAGTCCAAAGCAGAGAAAACTTCTCCTTTGCATCAGAAAGCTCTTTATTTACATGGCATGTTGAATGGCAGGGGAAATTCATTGCTGTACAGGCAACAGGGGCAAAGTGGACAGTAGTGAGCTTCAGAACTATGTTATCTGTTGTCTCTTCTATTCTGCTTCGATCCTGCCCTGTGGTCTCACAAAGACCACAGGGCAGAAGGACAGAAGCCCAGCTGGTAGAACGACTATCTCTGCTCTCACCAGCTTGTTGGGGATAAAAACAGACTTTCCAGTTTTCATCAATATCCTGTAGCCAAAGTTGTAAAGTTCGTTTTCGACATAACGACTTGTACATCTCATTGTTGCAATGGGTCCACCTGTATCCCTATTTAAACGATTTGTTTTTTCCCTTCCCCTCCCCAAATTATACCAGCATCAAATACAGTGAAAGCAGGGGTTATATCATGGGGGAGGGACATACAAAGCAACAAAGAAATCATCTTATAAATATGTTAGATTAGAAACAATCGCATGAAAGAAAAAACATTTGAATACTTATCTTGGGGTTCATTTCACCTAACATCAACTTATCTGAACTTTGGTGGCGGGGGGTGGGTGGGGAGGAGATGGGGGGGTTGTGGGGAAGATTGGAAGGGATAGGAAGGGGAAACAAAAGAGGAGGCAACAATGCTTGATAAGAAATGTACTCATTATCTTGCCCATGTAAATGTAACTCCTTCATACAGTATTCTCATAATAAAAAAAATATCCTGTAGCCAGCAGCTGATCATTCATATTAATAACAGTAGAACAAGCCAGGCACCAGTGGCTCATGCTTATAATCCCAGCTACTCAGGAGGCTGAGATCTGAGGATCAGAGTTTCAAAGATAGCCTGAGCTGACAAATCCCAAGGGACTCTTGGTCTCCAATTAACCAGCAAAAAGCTGAAAATAGGGTGTGGCTCAAGTGGTAGCACCAGCTTTGAGCAAAAAAGCCAAGTGAGAGCACAAAGCCCTGTATTCAAGCACCAGTACCAGCCCCAGAAAATAAAAATAAACAAGAACAAGTTGTGATGGCAGTCTAAACAGAACATAATCATGGACAAGTAACAGCAAAGCTCTGAAATTTCAGAAGGCTAGTCTGTCTGCAGGATGGGGATCTATCTCCCAGCGCCCCTAGTCCCCCTTTGCTGGCTGAGAAGTCTCCCAATGGCATCTTTCATGTCCTTGTTTCTCAGGCTATAGATGATGGGGTTGAGAAAAGGAGCCAGGACAACAAAAGTGACAGCAATTGTTGTGTCCCAGAATACTGAGTATGTCGCTGAGAATCTCAAATACATGACAGCCACACTGCCAAAAAACAGCAAGAACACAGCCAGGTGGGCCGAACAAGTGGAAAAGGCCTTGCGCCGACTCTCCGAGGAGGGCATCCCCAGAATCACCATAATGATCCGGAGGTAGGACAGGGCGATTACCAGGAAGGAGGCCAGGATCTCCACAGCATGGATGGCATCCACAATGACCACCAGGGATGTGTCTGTGCAGGCCAAGCTCAGCACAGGGGTGAAGTCACAGAAGATCTGGTGGATCTGGTTGGAACCACAGAAGGGCAGAGTGGCAATCCATGCAATCTCAGGAAGCACAAGGAGAAAGCCACAGAGGCAGGATCCAGTTGTCAGCTGGATACAAAGTTTGGGAGTCATGATGGTGGGGTAATGGAGAGGATAGCAGATAGCAATGAACCTGTCAATGGCCATTGCTGTCAGGACACAGCCCTCTGTGATACCCAGTGAGTGGAAGAAGTACATCTGCAGGAGGCAGCCAGTCAGGGATATGGTCTTCTTTTCACTGATGAGGCTGGCGAGCATCTTGGGGATGGTGGTTGTGGTGTACCAGATCTCCAGGAAGGAGAGGACACTAATGAAGAAATACATGGGCGTGTGTAGGGCTACATCCAACTGGACAACAATGAATATCATTAAGTTCCCAGTTAGGATGAATGCATAGACGAGAAGCAAAGGGATGAATAATAAGAGACCACCTTCTTGCAGCTGTGGGAACATAGAGAAGAGGAACTCAGTCACCATCGTTTGATTCTCACTGGTCATCAACTGGGTCAGCTGAAGAGGGAAGAAAAGACATAAGGAGTCTCCAAGAATTGGAATGTTCATTATGCATTGAAAACTGTTCCACTCCCTTCTGTAGTCATTTTACTTGAGCTAAAAGTAGGATCCAAATGAAGCCCCTTAGAAATATTTCTCAATGACAGAAATGTGTAGAATATGTGTCCTTCGATTAAACAACTTCATTAGATATGGAGAAAATATGGATCAGCACAAAAGTTTGATTCTCTGGAATCAAATGTTTGCTAGAAATTCATTGTCTTGGTTGATTTCAGAGTTCCTCTGTTCATCCCCCTCTTATTCTTCTGTGTTTTAGCTTTCAATCTTGTACCTTTGTTTTCAAATATTCTCTACTGCTGCCCTTCAGAAAATATAAGGACACTGTCAGCTGTCTTTCTCCCTGTGATTCTCCATGCTGCCTTGCTCATCTTTCTAGCCCTGATCTCCTCCTGAGGCTGGCAGGAGCACTCAGCTTCATCACCCTGCCTGCTTTTTGTCTTGTTTTTATATTGGCAGGTCTGTTTCTCATCAGATAGTGAGTATCCAGGGATAAAGAAGCATTCCTCCCCAGATGTTGTGCTTTCTCTGTAACTTTCCCTTCTTATCCATCCTGTTCTGTCAGTGGCTGGTATGGAGACTGCTGAAACTCAGTCTCTCTAGTATCATCTCATACTTGATTAGTGGCCATTTCAGGACAAGTTCCTGACATCACCCCAACCTCTCCTATATGGAAGAGCCATAGAAAGTAAATCATTCTGAATAAACAGTAATTTCCATTATAATAATGCACATTTGGGCTATAGATATCTAAACACCAGCAGCTTTAATAGCAATCAAGACAGTATCTGTTTGAGAAAGATGACAACTAAACTGTTGGAAGACTAATGTGACAGCAATGCACCTTATCTCTCTCCTTGACTGCTTTAGCATTGTTTTCACTGGCATTATTACTACAAAGATAAGAATATTGTACCAATGAACAGTCTAAGCATAGCCTTCCTTCCTTTTCATTTTCAAAGCATTCAAAGAATAAACTTAGAACTTTTCAAAAGGTAATCTTTCCATTTTAATGTGATTCTAATCAAATTTTGGAGCTAAATATTCTGCATAAGCAACAGCTCAGTAGTCAATAGTACTATTTCTATTTTTGCTCCTGTTATGACTTCCTTCTATTTTTTTTATTCTCCTTCTGTTGATATCCTGGGTACCAATGTCCTCTAAATGCCCCATTGTAATATAAATCTTACTGTCAAAATAATCAACAACCATTGACCCCTAAGATGCTTTATTTTTCTTTATTTTGGTAACATCTCATCTGGTACACTCTTCTTTGCATTTCAAATATTCACCTATCAGTATTATCTCTCCCTAGTAGGCTGAAAACTCCTTAAGAAGAATCACAGTTGAGGGAATGTAAGCTTATGCGATCACTCTGGGAAGCAGTATAGAGGTTCCTCAAAAATCTAAACATAAGCCGGGCGCCAGTGGCTCATGCTGTAATCCTAGCTACTCAGGAGGCTGAGATCTGAGGATTGCATTTCCAAGCCAGCCCAGACAGGAAAGTCCGTGAGACTCTTATCTCCAATAAACCACTCAGAAAACCAGAAGTGGTGCTGTGGCTCAAGCAGTGGAGCTCCTAACCCCAGAGTTCAAGACCCACAAGCGACAAAAAAAAAAAAAAAATCTAAACATAAAACTGCCCTGTGATCCAGAAATTTCACTCCTGGGCCTTTATCCAAAAGATCACATACAAAGATGGTTACAGTAAAGCCACCAGCACAGCCATGTTCATTGTATCACTATTCACCATAGCCAAGATACAGAATCAATGAACAATATGCCCCTCAATGACCCAAAAGGTACCAAAAAAAATATGACATACGTACACAATGGAATTCTACTCATCCATAAGAAACATGGTAAGGGGAAACAAAGGAAGAGGCAACAATGCTTGATAAGAAATGTACTCATTACCTTGCTCATGTAATTGTAACCTCTCTGTATGGCATTTTCACAATAAAAAAAAGAAAGAATGATATTATACCATTCATAAGGAAATGTAAATACTTGGAAACATATATTAAGTGAAATAAGTCAAACCCAGAGAAACAAAGGTTGCATTCATTCCCTCATTTGTGGTAGCTAGAATTAGCCTATAAGTCTATAAGTAAATACATTGGGTGGTGTGCAAGTGGTTACAAATGTATTAACTGAAAAATGGCAGACTCTAGAGAGAACTCAAATAGTATAATTTCTAAGAAAGACAAAGTCAAAGCCCAACAAAATCAGCAGCAGGAAATGAGTACTTGTAGGAGGTTCAAGGGGAAAAGGGTAGATGTGTGAACAGAAGGGAGAAAGAATGCAGCCAAGAATTCACTGCAGGGCTGGGAAGGTGGCTCAGTGGTAGAGCGCTTGCCTTGCATGCATGAGGCCCTGGGTTTGATTACTCAGCACCACATAAGCAAAAAGAAAAAAGCCAGAAGTGGCACTGTGGCTCAAGTGGTAGAGCGCTAGCCTTGAGCTGAAGAGCTGAGGGACAGCACCCAGGCCCAGAGTTCAGGCCCCATGACCGGACCTACCCCCTAAAAAAAAATTCATTGCATATACTACAAAATTAAGAAGGGAAGAGGTGGGAAAGTGAGAATATGGAAAGAAGTGACAGGGATCAAGATACACTGTATTCATAGTTTGCTGCTTCACAAAATGGCAACCCCTTTGTACAACTACTTAAAGATTTTTTTAATTTAAAGAAAAGAAGAATCACGTCTGGAATCAAATGGCATTACTGAATAGTTCTTATGCAATGAAAATAATGCTTGATACACATATTTTACTTTATTTCTATCTTTGTAGAAATTGTTAATATGCATGTTACAGATAGAGAAACTAAGAGGAAAAATTACTTTTTCAACTTAAATATTGCCAGATTCAGAGAAATAGATATGGAGGCGAGGTCTGTTTTGCCTTGGAAATCCACTGCCATTTTGTATACCTATAGTGTAAATTAAGGAAAATATTCACCCATCATCTTGTTTCCTACTTTGGGTAACAAAGGCCTGCTCCTGATGTAAGGTAAAATGCTAATATGGTCTTTTTAGGACCTCAAAAGAAGATTCAAAAAGATTTTTTGTGGATTAGGACAAGGGATTGTAGAAGATGCCTCTCACCCTGTGCATCAAGAGAGAAAGACAAAGAGATATGCTTTGACATAGAATAAGGACAAAGCCTGCAATTGGATTGGCATATGGGAGTAGAGGTCTCTGACTAGAGCATTAATTTCTCTGTTCTGTTTGTATTGTCTCTCCTCAGTCTAAAATACCAGAGAATGGTCACGCTGGGCATTTATTATGGAAAGTATACTTATACAGAGTTAGAAACATAGAGAGCTGTGAGAAAACCCTAAGCCCTATGCCAAATAGCTAATAAAAGCCAAGCAGAGCAATAGCTTTGTTGTTCTAAGCCGGGAGCTATTCTCCTGCGTGAGGCTTTCTCATGATTCCTCGTTCATAGATGTATTCATGTAACACTCACGCGTTTTAATCCTCTGCTATGTGCCCATCAGTTCCAAAGTTTCAAGGGAAATACAAGGGTCAACAAACATTATTTTTCCTGCTGAAATACATAAAGGACATAAACGTTCAGAATCACAGATAACTAGCAGTGCCTAAGAAGCTCAGCCTACAAATACTTCTTGTCTCATGAAAAGAGACTTGACTTAGATGCTAGTCATGGGACCAAGAGCAATAGCTTCTTCAATGACACCCCTGGAACCTGGAATTTTTTGAGAATTTTAGTGCTTCTAAAAGCCTTACATACAGGTACCTTCATCTGTGAGCTGAATTGTATCATGGCTAACATAGTTTCCAGATTTCATGTCTCCTTATTCTAATTATTTACAAATATCCTAAAGTACCAAAAATATAAGCTTACCCTGTAAGGCAAGAGCTGGGTTCTGAAGAATTACAAACATAAGGAAAGTACTAGGTAAGCATCAGAGGAGCAGAGGCTGGTCATAACTCTCCACTGGATGATATTCTTTCAGAACAAGCTAAAGCACTCACCCTTCTGTGAGCAGGAAAACAGTCCTCAGAACTTCTAAAGGCACTGGTCCCTTGTTGATGATTATATAAATGTCTCTGGAACTTCTTCAGGGAGTATTTAGGATGGGAAGATTGTCTTTCTTGGGAGTTTCTCTTTAGAAGATGCAGGATCTAAAAGCAAATGGTTCATCTCTTCCCCTCCAAGGGGCAAATTACGAGGAATGTATCATATAGTAATTAAGACATTCCCCAGGGCCAAGTATCAAAAGTTTTCCTGTGGATACAAAGCCTTGTCTCTCATACAGGAGAATAAAGCTAAGCCCTGGCATCTAGAAGAGCCAGAGTTGAGACTAGACATTGGGCAGGATCACAATCGTCAGGAGAACAGAGCTCTGAAACCCACTTCCTTCTTCTCTTTGCACCTGTAGGTCTCCTTATGATTCCCAAAACCTCTTCAGAATAGACCTTGTCATACAAAATAAATATATACTAAGAAAAAGTTAAAAACAATCTCACTTGATCTTTTAAAAAGCAGTTACTCTATGCTTAAAATTAACACGGTAAATTTAGTTATTTACTTTTTATTTACCACAACAAAGAAAGATTTATATGAGGTATGCAATAGAAGAGCTATTCCCATGGTAGTCAGGAAGGTTTCTGCATAACTTATAGAGAATAAAAGAAACACTAAATAAATTCATTAATACATTAAATTGATATGTTAATTATTTTTATTTTGATTTTATTGTCAAGGTGATGTAGAGAGGTGTTAGTTAGATGCATGAGGTATTGAGTACATGTCTGTCAAGCACTGTTACCCCCTCCTTGTTTTTCTCTCACTTTTTCTCCCACTCATGCCTCCCAAGTTGGAAAGTTCATGTCCAACATAGTGTCTAGTGAGCATCACTGCTGCACTGGTCATCCTTTGTCCTTTGTCTCACCATAGATCAAAGTTTTTTT